CACCTCCATACTTGGGAGATCCCTTAACAAAAGGAAACACTTGGTTTTTCAGATCATTTGGTTTCACAAAGCCACTGCTAGCAGCTTGACGGGAAGCCGGAAGCCCAACAAAGAACTGGCCGGCTTTTATAGAGGTCCATTTGTTCCATGAGTCCCTGAAGGCATTGGGGTTGCTGGTGGTAAATTCACACTGAGGGTTGTTGTAGAATTGGACCCAAATGTAGTCAAATAGGCCAGTGGACAGAGCACCATTGAGATACTGGTCAGGAAATGGGCATTGTGGTGCTGCACTTAAGTAGACTTTTTTGCCTCCTTTGCTGTAGTCAGACAACCTCCTAGCAAGTGCAGCATAGTGAGGTCCACCTTTCTCGATGTTGAAATCTATGCCGTCCAAAACGGCGCTGCCTAGAGGCCTTGAGTTTGATTGGCCCCCTAAGAAGTTGTTCCATAGGTAGACTGCTACACTGTTAGCATCAGCATCAGATGACAGTCCATAGTTCCCTGCGCCACCGCCGATCGAAAGCAGGACCTTAATGCCTTTTCTTTGGCAGTTTTTTATGCCAGCACTCACTCTTTGGCAGCCATTTGATGCTGGGTTACAGTGGCCAGCTAAGTTGATTTCAGGTCTATGGCCATTGCCAAATTTTGAGAGAAATCCTATGTTTACGACTCGATATTTTCCGGTGTTACATGTGTTTGTGAGTGAGCCCTCACCACGATTTTGACCCCAATAAACCACAATGACTCCGGCATTGGTTTTGGAAAACAGGGCTGGGAGAATCATTAGGAAGATAGTGAAAGCTTGAGAAAAAAACTTAGTGAACAAGGCAGCCATAGTTGTTGTCTTATGAGTTTGATGACAAATGTTCCTGTGGGATTATTCTATTTATAGACTTTGCAGGATCTGAGTTTGGGAAGATATTTGGAGCTTTGTTTCTTAGTCAATTTTGTCAATATATACGGGTTTAGTGGGTTGTTGCCAAACATGTAATAATCACTAAGGAGAAAAGTTTTATGTCGACAATTCTTCTTTCAAAGCCCCTTCATGAATTAAATTAAAATAGTAAAATTTCATTTATAATGGTGTGATTTAGTTCATTACAATAAATGCAATTGCAATAGAAGGTGTTATGTGATGAACCATCTATTGAATTGTAATAGACTAATTATGAGACTCACATGCCAATAAAAAAAATAGAAAATATACAGCAATTAATGCATTATGTCGTTAATGCATAATACATCAATTAATGCATGTGTAGCATGCATAATTGAACCTTTCTTTGCCTATATTTTTGAAAAAAAAATCCAAATATACAAGTTTGGCATGAAATTTATTTATTTATTTATTCAAATATATTCAAAATTGGTCTTTTTTTAAAGATCTCTTTGAGAATATTTCAATGGTACAATTTTTAGTGTTATTAAATTTATCCATTTTATTTTATTTGACTATGTAAAAAAAATATGTAAGAAGATAACTATTGATATGAAGCTATTGAACTGTACCGTTGCAAGTAAACTGTAGTTCAATTCAATAGATACCAAAATAGTTCAATAAATTGAACTATTGCATTGAACTATTGAACAACCATTGCGGATGCTCTTAACAAAATTGATGCTCATCATGAATTTTGTATTTCTCCTTAGTTGTGATAACACTAGTTAGACATAGAAGGTTTTGGAGGTTGATCCCCAAATATGCCAAACTAAAAAAGTTATCCTATTGTTAAATAAGAAAAGTACAAAATTGACTTTGAGCATGAATTTTGTGGACATGGTTTCTTGAGTTCTCGCCTAGGGTACATGTTGATCTTTCTTTCTTTTTTGAAATAATTAATTAATGACGTTTTTTGATAGTGGGACTAACTAGTCAGGCGTAGGAAGTTCTGAAGGTTGATTCCCAATAAACCACAATGCGCCCGGCACATGATCGTTGACGAACAAAGGGAGAATCAGCAGGAAGACAATGAGAGCTTGAGAACAAAACTTGGAGGACATGGCAATCATAGTTGTTGTAATTAAGAATAATATTTGTGTTTGATTGATCTTTTTGGTGGTACCTACAGATGGCAGTATGGCTACAGGGTTAGTCTATTAATTATAGACTTGCAAATGAGTTGCGGAAGATATTTTGAAACCCTCTTTCTTCTTTCTCTGTGAACATGCATGGAATTTAATTGCAAAGTTGCAACAACGCTAGATAGATTCCAAAATTTTCCAATTATGCATGCATATTGCTGTTCTTGAAACAATTTCCTTGTTTATGCCTGCTATATAGCTAAAATCAAACATAACTAACATGTGATGAGTTAATTTGGGTATTGAGTTGGCCGTACGTCGTCAACTTAAATTTCTTTGTACAAGATGTGAGTATGGCCAATTTTAGAGTTTAGAGAGTTAAGACTTGGGGGTTGATGAGTCAAGCTTACAGTAATTACTAGGAGAGGAACCACCTAGCTAGCTGGTGGTTCTTTCGTCCTTTACAAAAACTTTTCCACATATATCAACTAGATGATCCCCAATGTCAAGATTGCTAAGACTTTGCTGCTACGAGGGACGGTCCCTCAGCATTATGACCTGAACTATAGCCCATGTGGGGTCTTTTTTTTCAGCCCAAAATCTCTAATACAGCTCACCCGAGCCGACTCATATAGCACCCCTTCATGTAATGTAAGGTAAATTAAGTCAACCCCATTTTGAAATCATGGTTCGTCCGTCAGCAGGAGCTGGAATATGCATAGAGTTGAACTCAAGCCAACCGTAGATGCGCATGTCCATTACCTTGAGTTTGTGGACAATTTTCGTAGAGGATGACAGAAGCACTGGGCAAGTTGTGTTCTCGAGTTCGTCTTTAGTGTGGATTCGTAATTGTATGTCTTAAGACAGATCTAATAATGAAGTGGTTCACGAATCTAAACCTATAAAGGATCCGGCTGCATGCCGTACAAATATCTGCCCTGTAGAATTTTCTTTGTTTGCCTTGGAAGTTGGAGTCACACTTGCAGAGGAAAACAAAATATGAGAAGATATGTTCCTTCCACCTTTAATTAATCTTAATGGAATGGTACTGATTACTGGTGCTTTGCCGCAGACTCTTAGGTAATGAACAAGGTTGGCTTGACTTCAAGTCAATGGTGCTAAGCCGTATCAACTAGTCTACTTTGCAACAGATAATATAAAAATGAAACGGATCGAAGACGATTGTCTGAACTGAAGTCTGAATAGCTTTAGATATGGATACTGGGTTGGCTCAAGATTGTCTCCTTTTTCTTAGTCAATTTTGTGAACATGGTTTTCTTGAGTTCTCGCCAAACATGTAATAACTACTTAGAAGAGAAGTCTGAAAAATTCATGTTGATCTTTCTTCTTTTAACAAAATTAATTGATGTAGGGTAGTGGAGACTTGGCTAGTTAGAGAGGCATGGGACGTTTTGGAGGCTGATCCCCAGTGCCTAACTAATACCAAAATTGGAGATAGCAAAAACAGAGTGATATATTTACCGCTTCTCTTGAACAATTTCCTTATTTGTAGAACTAAAACCAAAACATAATTTAGACGTAACGAGTTAAATTTGGTTACAGCATTATTCTGGCTGCGGTCAACGTAAATTTCATTATACAAAATGTGAGCATGTAATGTGAGTATGGGGAGTTTTAGACTTTGGTTGGAGAGAGTTAGAAGTTGATCAGAACATAGACATTTCTAAAGCAGCCTCTCTCAGTGGGTGTGAAGACAATGTGAAGTTTCTCATTGTTCTTCTGTACTCTATATAATCTTAATAAGGTGAGCATAATTTGCTAGGAAACAGAATTACAATTGTTACATGCTATATATTCTTTCTTTATTATAAAATTAAACTAACGAAAGAACAGGACTGCATCAACTGCTTTATTTACTTTATAACAAGCCATTTTGATCACAATCCCGGCTTAAATTACACTTTGCCTTTGATCTTAGAACTATAGCCACTCTTGTCATCATTTAACTTGTCATAGAGCATGACACCACCATATTTGGGTGACCTCTTAACAAAAGGTAATGCTTTGTTTATCAGATCATTCGCACCCACAAAACCACTGACAGCAGCTGGTTTTTAATGTTTTTGTTAGTAAGCCCTCTCCACCATTTTGGCCCCAATAAACCACAATGACTCCGGCATTGGATTTGGAAAACAAGACTGGGAGAATCAATAGGAAGACAGTGAGAGCTTGAGAACAAAACTTGGCGAACAAGGCAACCATACTTGTTTTCTTATGAGTTTGATGCCGAAGGTTCCTTTGGGATTAACCTATTTATAGACTTTGCGGTATCTGAGTTCGGCATATTTCAATTTTGTGAACATGGGTTTTTTGAGTTCTTGCCAAACAAGTAATAATTACCAAGGAGAAAAGGTATACAAAGTTCAAGTTGATGGTTCTTCTTTCAACAAATTAATGGTGGTTTTTCATTCTATTGTAGCTAGAAGGGTATTGGGACTAGCTAGTTAGGCATATGGAAGGTTTTGGAGGTTGATCCCCCACTCCTAACTAAAGGGCTACCCAAGTCGTAAACAACTAGGGAATGCAGAACTATTAGGGAGAAAAGTATACAAAATTCATGGTGAGCATGAATTCTGTGAATTTGGACCCTTTTCTGTCTTAGTCAATTTTGTGAACATGGTTTTGCTATGAAACAGAGTTATCATTGTTACTTGCTATATAATCTTCGATATATCTGTTCTTTCTTTTTCATTTTCATTTTTTGTGACGTTAACTAGCGTCGACAGTTAGTTTAATGCAATTTGAAAGGAAGGTGTACAGATAACAATGTCTCATTTATTACAGAGTTAACTTTATCATAAAATTACACTGATGAAAGGGCAACAACTGCTTTATTCATTTATTATGAGCCATTTTTATCATAATCCAGGCTTAAATTACAATGATGAAAGAGCAGGACTGCAGAAACTGCTTTATTAACTTATTCTAAGCCATTTTAATCATAGTCCAGGCTTAAATTACACTCTGCCTCTGATTTTAGGACTATAGCCACTCTTGTCATCATTGAACTTGTCATAGAGCATGACACCGCCATATTTGGGAGACCTCTTAACAAAAGGTAACACTTCGTTTATCAGATCATTTGCAGGCACGAAACCACTGCCAGCAACTGCGCGCGAAGCTGGAAGCCCAACAAAGATTTTGGCACGTATAGAGGAGGTCCATCGGTTCCATGATCTCTTGAAGGCATTGGGGTTTCCAGAGCTAAATTCACACTGTGGGTTGTTGTAGAACTGAACCCAAACATAGTCAAACAGACCAGTGGATAATGCAGCATTGAGATGCTGATCAGGAAATGGGCATTGTGGTGCTGCTGATAAGTACACTTTTCTGCCTCTTGTGCTATGCGCAGCCAACATTCTAGCAAGTGTAACATAATGAGGTCCACCTTTCTCAATGTCGAAATCTACGCCGTCCAATATGGCGTCACCTAGAGGCCTTGAATTTGATCTCCCCCCTAAGAAGTTGTTCCATATGTAGTTGGCTACATTCTTAGCATCATTTTCAGATGATAGGCCATAGCTCCCAAAACCACCACCAATCGAAAGCAGGACCTTAATCCCCTTCCTTTGGCAGTTTTTGATGCCAATACTCGCTCTTTGGCAACCATTTGACTTCGGGTTACAGTGGCCGGCTAGGTTGATCTTAGGTGTTTGGCCTCCGCCAAATTTTGAGAGGAACCCTATGTTGACAATTTGGTATCTTCCAGTGTTACATGTTTCTGTTAGGGTGCCCTCCCCACCATTTTGGCCCCAATAAACCACAATGCTCCCGGCATCTGATTTGGACACCAAGGAAGGGAGAACCAATAGGAAGACTATGGCAGCTTGAGAACAAAACTTGGTAAACAAGGCAGCCATAATTGTACTTCCAATGAGTTTGATACCAGGGTTCCTGTGGGTTTACTCTATTTATAGACTTGCATCTGAGAGTGCTGAATGTATATTCTGAAACCTTAAAATTCTTTCTTGCAATAATACCAGACCCATGTATAAATATAATCAAAATTTTGAGCTGTACTTTGGAGTCAATGACATTACTCAATTTGCTTGAGTTGTGGTCGAACATGTGGTAACTTACTGACAAGGACAATACAAATGATTGTATTAATTGGTCTAGCTATTTTTTTTAGGGGTTGACAAACTTGGATTGGTGCCATTTGTCAAGCCGCACCAGTAGGGAGAGAGTTTAGGGTTGAGAAAATAAATAGGTTAATCCCCTTTTTTTCAGGGGTTGATAAAGATATTGTAGTCCAGCCAGTTGGTTGGCTTGACTTTAATTCAGACGTGCTAAGCACTAGGCCACTACTCTAGGTCACATTTTTCTTAAAGGAATTATAAAACTGATGAACACATAAACATGTAGCTCTCTACTGGTTTCAATGCATTGCTTCCCTTGCTAGACTAGAGCCAATCAAACAGCTTCAATATTTGCAATTAGGAGGATCTTATATGCTCCAAGTTGTACCAAAAAGGGGATCGCTTTTGCGTAGGAAAAACCAGTCTAGAAAGGTTCATTTCCCAGATTGCTAGATACAGAAACAAAAACGATATCATTTTGAATAAAATATATAACATTTTCGTTGAAAGAAAATGGCCAGATTTAATCTCCTTGGAGATTTTATATATAGTTTCATCTTGAGAGTATATGCCTAGAATTGGAAAGATATATGTTTCATATTGGAAAGACAGTATTAGCATCATTTTCATAATCCATAGCTCACAAAACCACCACCACCAATCGAAAGCAGGACCTTAATCCCCTTTTTTGGCAGTTTTTGATGCCAATACTCGCTTTATGGCAACCATTCAACCTAGGGTTACAGTGGCCAGCTAAGTTGATCTCTGGTTTTTGGCCTCTGCCAAATTTTGAGAGTAATCCTATGTTTTCAATTTGGTATCTTCCTCTGTTACATGTTTGTGTTAGGGTGCCCTCCCTCCAATTTTGGCCCCAATAAACCACAAAGCTTCTGGCATCTGACTTGCAAACCAAGGAAAGGAGAACCAGTAGGAAGACTGTGACAGCTTGAGAACAAAACTTGGTAAGCAAGTTCCTTTCGGCTTACTCTATTTATAGACTTGCATATGAGGGCTGAATGATATATTCGGAAACCTTAATTCTTTCTTAGTCAATCTTGTGAATATGGTACCTCTTGCAATAACACCAGAGGCATTCTTAGGTTGAAAGCATGTAAGCTGTATTGGGCTAGCTATTCAATGCCAATTGTCAAACAGCGTCAGCAGGGAGAGAGTTTTGGGTTGAGAAAGGTTAATCCCATAATTTGATTTGAACATCTTTTGCTTCACTTGAAGTTAAGCCTGCAGTACATGGTTCGCTTGACTAAGCACTAGGCCACTACTATCTAATAGGGGTTTGTAAATGCCCCAAATTGGCTGTGTAATTTCCTTTCTCTAGGTCACATTTTTCTGAAGGAAAGTATGAAACTGATGAACACTTGTAGCTTTCTACTGATTTCAATATATTGATGCATCATGCATTGCTTCCTTTGCTAGACCAGAAGCCAGAGTGGTAGACACTATATTTAACCAAACAATCAGCTAATTAACTAATAATTCATGTTGATAATCTTTTCTTAAACAAAAACAAATCAGATTTGAGACCCGAAAGATGTCTTTGTTCTTCTTCTGTCCTGCATAATCTTAATAAGGCGAGCAATGATTTGCTTGGCTACTTCAAGTCAAGCCTCTAGTATTACTTGCTAAGGAACAGAATTATCAAATGGTATTTGTACATTTGTTCGAATTTTCAGGATAAATTATCTACATCCAAGTTCATGAATTTTAATGCACTTTTCTCTTGCTGGTTTAGGGGCCAGTTTTATGCAATTTGAAAGGAAAGTCTACCAATAATGATTTATAGGACATCTTATATATAACTAACTACATATTATTTCAACAGCATTAGCTTTATTATTCAATTAAACTGATGAAAGAGCATGACTGCTTTCTTTTAAGCCAGTCTCATAGTCAGGGCTTAAATTACACACAGCTCTAGTGTAGGTGGCTAGATACAAGCAATGATGTATTACCCAACCCAAGGATTTGTTGGACCTAGATGGTTAGGGTGGGAACAATATCGGTGCATGATTTGGATAAGAAGTAGACTCTTATTGGACCCGTTGGTTTGCCAGAGGTAATCTCACACCGTGGATTGTATGCCATATGGGTTGTTGTAGAATTGAACCCAAACATAGTCAAATAGGCCAGTGGATAGTGCACCATTGAGCCATTTCCAAATTTTGAGAGGAAGCCTATGTTCACAATGCGAGATCTTCCTGTGGTTTCTGTTAGTGTGCCCTCCACCAGTAGGAAGATTACCAACACAACTTGGTGAAAAAGGCAGCCATAGTTGTTCTAATGAGGTCTTTTTTTTTCTTTTTTTTTTATGCGAGAAAGGAAAACTAGCAGAGACACAATCCTCTAGAATACGCAGGCCCAAACAGGTCCAAATAAAAAGAGGAACCAACAGAAAGGGGGAGACTACTCTCCGAAAGCTTCCAAGGCGAAATCAAATGACTAAGGGAAGCAAAGACATCCGCAACCGCATTGGCTTCACGATACACATGAGAGAATGAGACTTGATCACAGAATCTTGTGAGTTGTTCTAATGAGTTTGATATAGCAGTGGCTTCTTTGGGCTTAATCTATATGTAGACTTGCACCTGAGTTGTAAAAGAAAGTTTTTGTTGAAACCACTTTCTTCTTTCTAAGTCAACATTGTGAATATGGTCCACTTGCAATAGTTCTAGATTCATTCCAAAGTTTTTGTAAATTTCAAGCTAGTGTATGCAGAGAATGACAAGAAAATATTTGAGGGGGTGTGAGAAACTTTGCTTTGTGCAATTGTCGACCATCATCAGAAGGGAGATAAATATTTGAGGTTGTGAACATGACATATATAGGTTAAGAACTTTTCATCTTTCATAGTAATTGAAGTGGTTAAGAACATCATGATGATATGTATTTGATTGAATTCTCTACAAATATCATTGTCACAGAAAATTAAACAATTAAAAAAAAATCTCCCTCCAAATAAGAAAAAATAAAAATAAAAATGTCCATGATCGACATTTGGACGCTATTATTATCACACACCCAAAAAAAAAAAGGCGTAGAATGATCTACATTCTTTGGGAGAAACTGACACGTGGTGGACAAAGACGAAGTGCACGTTATCAGAAGGGTCTCGAAACTTCACCGTTAGATGACGCGGGAAACATCTCGAAGACAAAGCTTAGATTTTTTCTCCGTTATTTCCGATTCTAACCCTTACTATAAATCTCCAATTATCTGACACCCTCTCTCATCAGAACAGAGACTGATTTCAGTAAAAAGCCAAAAACAGAGACACACAACAAGCTTCCATTTTTCTCCTTTTCGGGTTTGTGGACCGATTTGCTCCGTTAACTGAGTCATCCGGATTGTGGAACTGTAATTGGCTGTTTGATATTTCTTCACAAAATAAAATAAATTGTAAGTTGTGGTTCTTCCTCTTCCTTTGTTTTGCCTTACAATTTTGATTTTGGCTTGTTCTTTGTTTCTATAATATTGTGAGATCCACTGAGAGAAGATATGCAGTAGATGGTGATAACCCATGAATTAAAAATTTGAACTTTGTATGAGCTTTTGATTTTGCATCTTCTAATTTGCATTGTTTTCAAAGATCAATTAATCTGAATGTAAATTTCCACTGGCTGCTTGTTGGCTCTTTGTCTGCTGTGGTCTGAAAGTTGGATTTTTTAGCATTTTCTTTCCCTGAATCTGGAGTTTTTATAAATATTTGGTTATGTATCTTTTCATTTGCATTGTCCTAAACATTCATTGATTTGAATTTGATGCTTCTCTGTCTGCTATGGCTTGGAAATTGGAGTTCTCAGCATCTCTTTCCTTCAATTTGGGTTCTATGTAAAATTTTGATTCTGCATCTTTTGATTTCCATTGTCTTCAAAAACACATCAATTTGAATCCAGTCTGCATTTGGTCCTTGTTGGTTCCTTGTCTGCTATAGTTTGAAAATTGGAGTTTTGAGCTTCTTCTTCTCCTTCTTCTTCTTCTTCTTATTTTTCCCCCCTTTTTAGTGATTTAATTTTCATATTGTTCTTTTGTCAGCTCTTGGTGCTGCTTAAACGTTTTGGAGGACTTTTTTGGTGTTTGTGTGTATAAATTTGGTCAAAAATGATGCCAATGTACAGATACATGGATTCAGACCCCTACCAAAGAAATCAAACCTTCTCTTTCCCTCAGCCCCATTATCCTGGTCTCAGAGCCAACTCACCTAGGCCATTTGAGCCTTGGCCCTATGGTGGCAACTACAGCTACCCAATTTCGTGCCATTCTTGTTGTAGCCATAACAACGTCCCCGGCCACGATGGTTTCAGACCCTCTCACCCTCATGTTTCAATGCCATCACCAGTATTCTTTTATGGGGGTTATCCTCTTCCATATCATGAAGCCTACCCTGTCCACTATGTACCTCCTCCTCATTATTCGATGGAGATTCCTAAATATGAGTATGATAAGAATATGCCTCCAAGTTTTCACTGCTGTGGGTGTCCTAATCATCCTCGCCACCAGAATATGGATAAGGGTGTTAAGATTGAAGAACAAGGACCGGTTGTTGAAAAGAAGGCGCATGACTCTTTGGTTCCGGTTCAGTTGAAAAACAACCCTTACCCAATTGTGTGGATTCCACCCGAATCCATGAATGGTGGAGAGCAAAGGAAGCTCTCTGAACCAGAGACCATAGATGAGAAGAAAATTCCATGTAATTCGAAGCCTCATGAGAGTTTGAAGTCTCAGGAAGGAGATCAAAGGCATGGTTGGTTCCCCTTTGACTTGAACAACATTGGGTCTTTGATGCAAGGTGGAAATAAGGGGCAGGTTCAGGATCAACAGAAACAGATGGAGGATAAAAACAAGGAATTTCCATTTCCAATTTTCTGGGTGCCATCTTATGAGGAGATTGGAAAGAAGGATAAGGATGTGAATGCTTCTCAGGATCAGCAGAGTGAAGACCAAAAGAAGCAATTTCCATTTCCGTTCTTCTGGTTGCCTAATGAAAACAAGGAGGAGGAGGAAGTAGGAAAGGAGGACAAGAGGGAAATGAATTCCACTCCTAAGATTGTTCCAATGAACATTTCTGAGAAGGGTGATGTTACTAACGAGACTGGAGTGAATGAAGAGAAACCTGCTGGTCAGAGTGTTGTTGAGAGAAAGGAAAAGACTGCTAATCAGAGAAGCATACATGTGAAGCAAATGAATCAAGAGGAGGAGGAGAACAAATATGAAGACACTGAGAGAAGAGGAAGAAGTGTCCCTGTGAAACATGTAGAAGACAATATAGCTAACAAACCTTCTGGTACCAGTGTCAGAGGACAATCCTCTTTCCCGAAAAAGTCATCTGAGCTGCCTCCTGTTTGCCTCAGAGTTGATCCTTTGCCGAAGAAGAAGAAGGCAAATGGGAGTTCACGATCTCCTAGTCCTCCTGGTGCAAAAGGACTCGAGCAAGAGAGTTCAACTGATGCTACCAAACCCTCTGCTTCTTTGGGCTTGCAAGAGAACGCGCAACAAGATTCAAAATCTGCTCCAAGGAACAGCAAGGAGGTGGAGCCTTCCAAAAAGGAGAGGGTTATTCCGGTGGTGGATAGGAACAGCACTGTAGACAAGGATGCGATGCATACACCCCAGATTCCCGTTAGCTCCAAAGAGGGGATATCCAGGAAGCCAACCATTCGGGAAGCTGGGAAAGATGAAACTAGATGTGAGGTCAATGAGGATGAAGGAGCAAGAAAGGCACGAGATACAACAGTTGACAATGTGGAAGAGATAAAGAAGCCCAGAGAGACGGTCAAATCAGTCGTTGATGGAAGGAAACTTGACAAAAAGACCATGTCAGATATAGAAGCTGCTGTGCGTATCCAATCTGCCTACCGTGGGTTCGAGGTTAGGAGGTGGGAACCATTGAAGAAACTGAAGCAAATAGCTGAAGTGCGTGAGCAGGTGGGTGATGTTCGGAATCATATCACATCTTTGGAGACTTCTGATCTCCAGAACTATGACAAGCAAAAGGTGGTAATTGGGGAAACCATCATGAGACTTCTTCTCAAATTGGATACTATTCAGGTATGTGCTTGGCTCATTTAATCAAATTTTTACTTTCTTGTTGGATTCTTATGGAAACATTGGTCTTTATCTTTTGATTTATAAATTTGGGTGTATGCTAACCAAGATTTTAAAAATTCCATGTGTGCATCACTATGTGGTTGCCTCGCATGTGAAAATCCTTTATGCAAACACATGCACACACTCTTATTCAGACGCATATACAGATGGACAGATAATGAACCATTTTTCACGTATTGTCAATTTAGGTTTGAACAAAAAAGAAAAAGAAAAAGAAGTAATTGAAATGTGTGCTGGTTTTGTGATGCATGGTGTTGGATAGGGAATTTGGCATCCGAATCTGCCCAAGCTATATTTGGTTTAGGCCTTTAAGGATTGCAGATATATTTGAAATTGTGGGATTTTTTTCAATATTTATGCTCATCTGGTTCTTTCTTTTATTGTTGTTCAACAGGGTTTGCTCCCAAGCTTCAGAGACATTAGAAGATCCTTGGCAAGGGAGCTTGTAGTTTTGCAGGAAAAGCTTGATGATCTAATCGCTAAGAAATGTCAAGATACACCACAGGAGGCATCCACTATTACACGTGTGGAAGAGCTCAGTTCCAATGCCAACAACAATAACTGCATGCTAGAGCAAAAAGTTGAAGTGAAAGGACTTGGTGAAGGACCGGCTGATGGTGGTAGTGATAGCAGTCACCATGCGACAGAGCCTTGTCAAGGGCAAGTGCTTAACACTACCGATTATGTGCCTGCTTTGAGAACCAAGGAGCCAGACCTCTCTGACCATGGAGAGCTGCACAAAGCATCTGAGGATAGTGCTCAAGAACTGCCAGTGGCAAGTGGTCTAAAATCTGAAGATCTTGGTTCGGAGTCCGTTACGGAACAGAAGAATGATGTGGTTAATGGACAAAATAATTCTGGAGAAATCAGTATGGTAAACACAGAAATGGGCAATGGTTCCACCGAGCTCAAACAATGTAGTGAATCTCCATCTCTTGTAGAAGACAAGATAGTTTGTACAGGTATCTCTTCTGAAGTTGTTAATACGAATCCACAGACAATAGAGCTTGAAGAGTTGCCTCAAGGAGCATCTGATAATGAGCCTGCCATTTCAGAGCCTGAGAAGGATGAAAAAATAGAAATGAACAAGAACGAAGTCAACCAAAGTGGTGAAGTGGAATTAGAAATGTCACCAGATGTAACATCACCCAATGCTGGTGCTAATGTGACTGATAAGGAAGCAGAGATGCATGAGCAAGCAGATTTGCCACAGAGCATGATTGATGAGGAGAGTCTGGCTAATGAGTTTAAGAAGATCGAAGAAGTCGAGGTAGTGAAGGAGGATGATGTCTTAGAAAGTGGAGAAGAAGAGCATCAAATGGTACTTGATGCCACTTCACAGCATGATGGGACTCCAAATTTGGATCAATTAGAGCTACAGCCAGAGGGAGAAATGGAGGAGCAGCCTATTCTCCAATCGAAGGAGCGGGTAAAGATGGATTCTCACAAGGATGAGGAACTCCCTGGAGATTCAGTGCTTAAGGCAGAGGTGGAGCTCCCGCCACAAGAAGAAGCCAGCAAAGATGATTTTCCCCCGCTGGTCTTTGAGTCGATCGAATCCCAACCATTGAGCTTACCTGTTCAGATTGAAACTCATGATGCCGTGCATGAAGATGGACCTTCAGATGTAATCGACGGTGATATTACTTGCTCCTCTGTATTGGCTGATCCGGGGAGGCCTATCGAGGATGAAGTGCCAATTGAGAGAAGTACAGAAGACTCAAAATACCAGCCAGCAGCAACGGCCGGAGAGGACAGAAAGGTGGAGGATAACAAAGTTGAATGCGAGGACTACAATAGACTGGCAAGTGGTGCTGAAACTGCCAAAGAGGATCTCTTCCTTGAGACACAATCTACTCCAGTGCAGAAGACTGAATTGGCATCCCCCACCAAGCGATGTGCCGTGGGAGTCGAAAATGAAAGAAGCCTAGTTGAAGAGAATGAGAAACTCAGGGAAATGATGCAGAAGTTGATGGAAGCAGGAAACGAACAGCTGCAAGTTATATCTAAACTGACCGGAAGAGTGAAAGACTTGGAGAAAAAGCTGGCTAAGAAGAAGAAAGTAAGGACAAGGAGGAATAGAGCAGCATCACCACCTGGAACTTCTTGCATGAAACCATCAAACGATCCGTTGAAGGAGGGGGCCGTTGGTGTTGCAATGTGAAGAAAGGTCACTCCATGTCTCGATCATTCTTAAAAGAAATGTTGAGTTATTGTAATGTGGGGTTTGAATCTCTTTGTATCTACAATGTGTGAACTTTGTCTGGTCTTTTTAAGTTTTACAGAATAATAAAGAACTGTTTGAATATATACCTTCCATCTTGCGTTGTTCGATTTCTATCTTTGATACAGTAGTTCTCGAGTCTTGAGTAGTTTGCGGAAAAAATAATGTTGGTTTGTTATACACGAATTACTCTGCTTAATGAAGGAGCTACCTATTGCAGGAAAAGTGGTTAACAATAAAAATGGAATGCCAGTTCGAAGTTAAAATTAAGAAAGAAAAAAACCGTTAATAACACCATTAATTTTATTTTACCATCCAAGTGCCAACTAAAATCCACTGGATTTACTTTAACCCCAGTTGCACCACAAATTTTACCCCACTAGATCATCCACCCTGTAAAAACTGGACTCTGGACACCATGGCCAAACCCAAACCAACCACCTCATTTCCCAGAGAATATTCCCCCAACTAAATCGGACCCACCGACTTCGGAAGCTCGTGTTTTTCTACACAGTACCCCGCCCCTCCTCTCCCTCCCGCTCTGGCTCTCTTAACCGGCATGTCTTGCGGCAACTGCCCTCTTGTTCTTGAATCTCATCAAGACCGTCCGCTTTCTTCACTGCTTTCTTGACCGAATCGCGACCGTCGATTCCGCGCCCCCGAAAGCGATGATGAAGAAAGAAAACGGAGATCACGAGGGCACGATGCGCGTGCTTGAGATCCACCTTATCTCCGCCCAGGGCCTCAAAGCCCCCGCCGGTACCTTGCGCCGCATGCAGACCTACGCACTCGCCTGGGTCGACTCGGCCCACAAGCTCCGATCCCGGGTCGACAAGATCGGAGCCTCGAACCCAACCTGGAACGACCGGTTCCTCTTCAAGGTTCCGCCGGGCTTCCTTTCCAGCGAGACCTCCGCCGTCTCCGTCCAGATCTACGCCGTCGGTACCTTCCGCGATCACCTCGTCGGCTCCGTCCGATTTCTGATCAACAATTTTCTTGACGTCCACTCCAAGATGCCGTCGTTTACCGCGGTCCAGATCCGGCGACCTTCTGGAAGGTTCTACGGCGTGTTGAATGTTGGAGCGATGGTAATCGACGGCTCTGATCTGGCTCCGGCGGTGAACGAGATGTCGGCGATCGGATACCGCGATCTGATGGGGAAGGGAGAGAGCTTCGGGCGCAGGCGCCGGCACGGCGACAGCATGAGGATCAAGTCGAAGGATTACTCTGGCGACTCAAAGGAGAATTCTTGTGCCGAGTCAACGGAGAACTCGGACGCTGGCGAGTCGGTGGCGTCATCTCCGGCGACGCCATTGCCGCCTCTGAAGGAGCTGAACGGGGTAGGAGATTTGGCGGGAACAACAACCAAGGTGTTGAGGACTGCTCCATCGGACGGCTCTCGTTTCTTGTGCTGCTTGCTGACGCAGAGGAAGATTCAATACACTCCGACGGATCAGAACCCGGATGGGGTCCACGGCAGAGAAAGGTAAAAGTAAAAAATTGAAAAAACAAAAAAGTCGACGATTGAAAAGAAAATGGGTTTTGAATCTTGATGAGCGTGGATGGAAATGGTGGTTATTCGTGGGTTTTGATTTTGGAAGAAAAATTGTGTGAATATTGCCGGTGTAAATGAACACGGATTAATTGCTGAAGAAGAGAGCATTAACAAACTACAAATTTCAAGTTACTGAGAGTTGATTACTACCCAGACTTTAGTTTCTTCTTGGTTCTGAATGTACAGGAATCAGGCAGGCACTAGAGAGTGGCTTAGAATCTTCTATTAGGAAAACCATGTATAAATTTGTGTCCGTTTGTGCAAAATGTGCATCGAATCGATCTTGGTCATGTCAAAAGCTGATCAAATTTTCGTTCTAAACTTTGATTGTCGTGTAAGCTGTCTACTTTGAGGGTTCAATGACAATTCAAGAGGGGTGGACTTTTTGCACATTTCATCTTTTGTTCGATTTTTTATCTTTAACTTTTATGATGTTGCCATTGATCAAACCCACTTCATTTTGGTACCTTTTTGCTGCGGTTAATCTGTTAAATGCATGTGTTTTATAACTTTACACTAGTATGTGCTTGAGCTACTACTTATTTGGTATATTACCTACATCTAAAGCGTGATATCAAAGGCATCCCTATTCTGAGCTCAAGTGGTCAATTCGGGTGTTTGAATCTCTGTACCTTAATGTCGCTTGTAAAAATACATCCCCGTATAATAAAGAATTTTTTTTTTTTTTTTTTTTTTTTTTTTTAGGAGGTTGAATGGTATAAGTACGGCCGGATTTCAGACTTTGATAATGTGTGTGAGAAAAATCATTTGATAAAAAATAAAAATAATAATAATAAAATTGTAGGCTTAATGGGTTGGGCTTTGGTATGCAACTGATGGACCTTACGTGAACCCAAGTTTTATGTATGTATGGGCCCAAATAATGTTAGGGTTAGGTTAGTTGAGTCATTCTATACTATAATATTATAGTAAAAATAAAATAAAAACTCGCCAATGCGATTGTGATCTGTATTTATGGTGTCTCCTTAAATCAACCCATCTGCCCTTTGAGTTGATGATTTTAATGAACTCCATAAACCAAAGCAAATCTCTTCACACCTTTCCCAAAAATTAAGAACACCATGACACGTTCCGAATGAATAGAGCGAGTAGTATGCTACGCGTGACATGAACCCCCTTCCCCTCCCCAGTTACAGTGACGAAGCAGAAGAAAATCAGCAAATTGCAGTAGCGGCAGGCTGGGTGGGTATACGTACCACCTATATATTTTAAAAAACAAATTACTAAACGCTGTAGCTGTGCTAGAGTGTAGTAGTAGGATAGGATAGTGTAGAGCGCAGTGCACGATGTGATTGATTGAAATGAATAACCAAACAAGTAAGCCAAATCACAGACAGACGTTTTTCTTTTTGTTTTTTAAATGTGGGATGGGATTGCTACGATTTTTTCGGCTGATGCAAACTGCTGTAGATCCGGCTGTCTCTGATCACAATCTCCGGATCCCGTGCCGATTCTGATTGATTAGCATATATATTGTATTACCTTTATCGATTGCCGTCGACGTTAATCTGATCAGCGATCTCTGTGATACTGACTTCGTCTGCCCTAAATACGAAGCATTGATCAATTTCTTTAACCCCCAAACATAAGCATAGTAGAAATACTTCCATGAAACAGCGGTATCACAATTTTGCTATTCTCAGTTAATAATATTATGATAAGCATTACGGCGTGACGCTTATTCCTATTGGAACTAAGTGTTTTCTGCAAAAGTGAAGACCTAATTTTTACTTTAAATGGCCAAATAACAGGATTCTTTTAAAAAGTTATTTAATTTAAACCGTCCAAGGCGCATCCCTTTTAGATACAACATAAGTTGTAGCTTCTAGCAAAGATCAAAGGGTGATGATGATAGCTTTTGACAATTTGGTTGGTATAACTAAAATTACTTGGGGAAGATAAGAGCCAACATGGTTCCTGACTGAAAGATAACAGGAAATAAACACAACACTTTGTGACAGTCTTAATCCAACTAAGAGTACACTAGTAGCGAGTTAGATAACCTAAAAAATGCGTCAAAATCTAATAACGACCTGAAAATTAACGTTATGTTTGAGCATATAACATTATCTCAATAGTCATCTCTAGATGCTCAAGCACTGAGTAAACATAATTTCTACAAAGCGTCAAGTATAGCATTCAGTTCTAAAACTAATTAACTTGTAATTTCGAATCGCTATTGCAACACTTTTTCGCTTTGGCTTTATGCACTTGAAATGACAAACTGGACATGCGCATGGCATGATGCCTATCGACTATATGATTATGTCTATATATATATATATATATATATATTCTTAATGTGTCACATTTGATTTGATACACATCCTTACTTCTATGTCTTTTAGGGTTACAATGATCCACACTAGAGCTAGATAGATAGTGGAGTTGTTTATTCAGGATATTTAAGGGATTGTTTGGAACTAACAACGGTTATGATTTCTCAAGGGGTGAAAAAATAACAAGGGTTATAATTATTTGGTGGCCACTTTGAATCTTAGATAGAAAAAGTCAAATGTCATCATAGAGCAAAGTGGGGAAAATGTTGGATTTGGTAGTGATCTTAATAGCCACGACGACAAGTTTATCTTGATTTTGCTGACTAATTGGTTCTTCTACATGCATGCATGCTCTTTGGTTTTCCTGCATTCATATCCCTTGGTTGTATATGTATATGCATCCATTTTTCCAGACAGTGAATAGTTTCTTCTTATTTTACTTCTCGAAATTGACTACCATGTTCCGTGTGTTTTAATCTAATATGAAGGAGCTGAAAGAAAAAAATTAACCTAGGGAGGAAGATCGTTTACTAACTGATAGAAGAACCATGATCCAACTTAAGGAGGAAGATTAAGAGTACCTAATTACAGAGAACAAAAACAAGGCTATTGGTCCCTTTCTCCACATGCATAAGAATACAAATGCATTTAGTCATATTAGAGTAGCTATAGATAGGGGTAGTGCTCTTAATCTCTTGATTATTTCATGATTACTCAGAGCTTTAAAAAAAGGCCGGCCATGTATCGGAGATCGAGAGCCTGCCCCGACGAGGAGAACCAGCCGCTAGAGGAATGAATTTGGTCTCCTTTTACGAAATGAGCTTTGTCCCATCATTTGCTTGGGTTGGGAACTTGGGAGAGAAGAGAAATCACTTTTTATGACTAATGATTTTTTTCTTCTTTTTTGCCTCATGTAGGAAGAGGTCTTGAGTGTCCACGTTCCTCATCATCTCCCATTTGGAAGACGTTGAAACCTTTTTGAAATGAAAACCCAGCAAGCAAATGCCTAGAATCCATCAATGGATCTGCTTGCAACTGCCAATTCCCAGTGACCTATTCTTGGTCCAAAAACGCTTAGACGTACAGCCAAGCAAAACAGATTGCAATATTTAATCCAAAAGCAAAAGCACATTTTCCACATGCATTTTCCACCCACAATATTATTTGTACGAGACTAGAAGCACTTTGTGCGGTACTTCGGTTTCACAAAAATCTATAAGCTCCACTCATTGCTATCACCAAACTTGCATGACCCATAAGTTTGTAATAATTCTCTTTTGGCCATTCAACCATGTGGTGACCCTTTTCCTTGCATACTTGCTCCACTATCTCTCCCTTTGCGTTGTTACCTTTTTCTATCATGCATTAGGTGTTCGAAGTCCATGCTCAATTGGAAAGATGCAGGCCTAATTAAGTCAACTCTACATTGCAATTGAGTTCCAATTATGCTAAGGGCCAAAGCTAAGTGTATATTAATTAAGACCTCTCGTACTCAGAACTTACCTGAAAATCTTATACCCGATGAGAGAGTGAGTCGTGGAAATTATCCTCTCATTACTCAAAAACATGGTAAGATGAATGCTCCAAAGGCTAACCTGACCTAATTTGAAAATACATGTAATATGCTGAGTTTTTGAACATCACTTTCATTGATTGGTTGGTAGTAGATCTCTCCTTCATTCCACATGTCTTGCTAGTTTCAAATGTATTTGGTCGCTATTCCTTGACAAATCCCACACATGACAAGACAGACATACATTATATATATATATATATATATAATATTGTTGTGTAAAGCTTGTCAATAAACTATTACAAGTGAGTAATGACTTAATGTGCACAAAGTGATTTTATTTTACCAGAAAGAGGTTGCTACATAGTGGTGCAGCCACTACAATTTATTCCATTTCCCCTTTAATTACTACAAAAATAACTCTGTGATACAAGTCCAGACCTTTTGACACTTGGTTTACCCATTCAGCCATTTATTTCCCTTTTTATTTATTTATTTTAAATTTACCCCTTTATTCCTTTGGCCTGAAGAAAAGTTGATCCATCAGCTGATGAGGCTCCACGCACTAAGCATTATTTATAAATTTGAACAAATTTTTGTTGGTATTATTATGCAGTAACTGCACTAAAAATATTCCATAATATATTTATATAATGCTTTGTTTATAATGAACATTGGGATCGTATATCCTACAGCATGTTCTGTTCTCTTACTGTTTTTTCGCCCGGCGGTTTCTGCCCTTGTCAATAAAGGTAGGGTGGGGGCTAATGCCTAAGCTGTGATTACCAAATTTCTTGGATTTAAATGTCATCACTTGCCTCACTTTTGCAAGTTTGCGACTTTTATGTCAGAATTTCTTTGACATTTTATGGTTATGTATGGAGGTACACTTGTGCGCCTAATGTTATCGGTGGAGTTCTCTGTATTTGGATTAACCTTTTATGGATAGTGAGCTTCCGTATTTGTAATAACCTTGTGGTTATCTGTATTTGTACTGGCTTTTGTGACTGACGGTCTTTATGCTTGAATTATATATAAATGCAATCTACCGTTTTTGTTTATATAAAAAATGTCATCACTTGCTAGAAACAATAATAAACATTTATGGTCTGCTTTTAATTATATGTTTTGCATCATATTGTCAATTCCCCTTTTGCAATGGGCAAATCTAATTGGGCTTCCTAATCTTTGCCTCAATTAATTTGTTGCGTGTTTCCTGTTTTGACCTAAATCTGAATTAATTTTATTTTGTGGGGAAACCCAAAGCCATTAAGCAAGTTTTAAAACATCTTGCTTTATAGAATATGGACAGAGCCGGTCCATTAGATATAGAGGCCTTGTGCGAAGAAAGCTGATGAGGTCCTATATGTATAAGTAAATTAATAATTTTTCAAATTTTAAAATTCATAAATCATAAATTAAACCAAAATATGTGGTATCAATTACGTTAGAACCGTCAAATAGAATCAAGATCATCCTTCGTCTATTTTCACGTACTCGCATCCATTTAATTTTCTTTTACATACAAAAAAACTACACATACTCACAAATATAATATAATGTTGGGCTTTAAAAACATTTGGAGGCCCCTAAATTTTTATTAACTTTTTATTAGATGATTGTGTTAGCATGCATGAATAATGAATTATTGCACTGCTGAGCTATTAGAAACCTGATACCTCTATTATGGCTATAGCAAATAATTTCCTCCTCCTGTTAAGACGGAAGCCAGATTCTGACTTTTTCTTGAAAAGCTGTTTAAAAAAAACAATCAAGCTGGCCCTTGAGATTTTCAAGATTTGAGGTACAATGTTTAACAGAGTAAACGTGTGTATCCACGCCACGTGTGTTTAGAGTTTGAAAGGATTTTTACATGACCTGAAGGCGTTTGGCTAGGGAAAAACATCTAAGAACCAGCCTACCCTATCCCTAACCACCCCTCACACCAAGGTCATAGGCCACCCAAGTTGCAAGGGTGGTTCTGTCCCTACGTTAGCCGATTTTCGTTTTAAAATCTAATCTAACAGTTGGTTTAAAGTTGACAACCAAAATTATAGAGCATACTAATCATATTTAATTTATGATTACAACGCATATGCTTACAAGAGCAAAGTTGTTCAAATGCGAGTTATGGAAGCATGAAACATGAGATTTGAGTTAGGTAAAGAAGGGCCATTGTGCCTCTAACCCACAAAAAGAAGCTCTTACCACATCGCCTCCTTTTTCTGTTTCAAAGAAAATGGAAGGAAGAAAAGAAGGCTACCCATGTGGTTTGGTATTATGGACAGCCTTGTTATGGTTGGTAAAGCATATACCAATTTCACAAAAGAGAAAAATTGAAATCAAAGTAAAAAAGAAAAAAGAAAAGATGGAGTCAAAAAAAAAAGAAAAAAGAAGTGGATGGGAAAAATAAGGGTGCAAATTGCAATAAGAAATTAAGAAATAAAAGATTTTTTTTTGGGGCCAATATGAAATAAAAGACAGAAACAAGAAGCAAAAAAGTAAAAATTAAGGGGTGATGAGTAAGACAGCATTATACTTTTTTTTTGGGTCCAAATCATTATACTATTCTTTTTGGTTGTGTTGTGTCGTGGCCAAAAGTCACCTTCTTCTCCTCCTCTCATTAAAAATCCATAAAATGCTTGAATAAAACCACAGAACCCATCTCTCGAGCTCACACTATGTTGTGTGCACAAAAACAAAACTCAAAGTCTCTCACGCGCCCGCCCCCTCTCTCTCTCTCTCTCTCTCTCTCGCACACACACATAAACAGAGAGACGCAGACCCTATTGAAAAAACGCCTTCTCACTTCACTACCTGCCTGTCGTTTTTGTTACATCGAAAAAGAAACGGAAGTCACTTCTCTCTATAAAATCTCTCTTTCTAATTGGGTTTGCTGAGCTGAGGCATGGTTGCCGGCCAAATCTAGAGTAGCCCATTTCATGGTTGTCTACCATTTGAAGGAAATCTTCTTCTTTTGGGCAGAGCCCTTCCCGTTTTAGCTGGTGCTTTGTTTAAGGAGGTTTGGTCGGTGAAAGATCAATTCTTTGGCTCATTTATTTTTTAACTGATGTCAATATTGAGTCCCTGAACAAATCTAAGCAAACCCATTTGGTCAGTGACAGTGGAAGAGGCTTCAAATTAAAGGTGTGTGCTTGATGGATTTCGTTTTCGGAAATAATTTTTCTGCTTTTGCTTTTGTGAAAAAACTTGGTTTTTATGCTTTCACTGATCTGTTTGTGTCACCAATGTTAGGTGTAAGTTTGGTTTGTTGATGTATTGCTATCTAGTTTATGGGGTTTTGATGTTTGATTGATTGGTATCCATGGACTAATCGCTCTTCATCTAACATTTTTTTTAAATTTCAATCACAAATCTCTCTTAGGGTTTGATGTCAATACAATGATGTTTTTTTATACGAAAAGCTATTTTGTCTGGAAAAAAACAGAAGTTTCATTGATGTAAGAAGTCTGGTTAAACAGAAGTTCATTTTTTCCATAATCATTTTGGTGTTGTTTGTTTCATGGGTTTTTTGTTCCAAATGTAGTTGGATGTGGGCAGTAAAGTTTGGGAATTAGTCTTGGCCATTTGATGCTGAGAGAAGTATTCTTTTTTTTATACCTTCACCTTCTGGGTATGCATTTTAATTTGATACCATTTTCCTTCTGGGTTTGCATCATTTGGTGCAATCTCCTATGTCTTTGCTTAGTTGTGTAATTTTTCCATTTTGGTACGAAATGAAATTTCTGACATTTACAAGATTTTGTTGCGCTACGTATATCATATCTGTAATTTGGAGGTGCGGGATTTTTGTAATTGAATCTCCAATATTCAATCACCTAGACTGTCTGAACTTTGAAGTTGTTATCATTTCTGGCTGCATTTTTTTGGTCTGCTTGACGGTTTCCCACATGGATATCGGTCTGGCTATCCCTGATATAAATCTCTGCCATGGGAATAAGGAATAATATCTTGGAAGGTGGATAGATTTTGTTTGTGTTTTGTTTTCTCCTTTTGGCTTATAACTATTCATTGACGGGGTTGTGGCTAAAATCTGAGATCTACATGTTGATTTCTGCTTTTGTTAGCCTTTCGATTAGTCCGAAGCATGTTTCATTTCTCTTCTGTAATTATGTAACTTTTAAATTATTACAGACACATAGACAGCAGTACTGTCTGCTGATTATAGTGTCTTTAATCTGTCAATCCTAATTAGGACTTACTACACCTAACATCTGGAATTGATATGCCATCCCGATTCATCAATTTTGATGTGATCTCAGGCTCTGACTTGTATTGGTTTTTAGACCACAGGTTTCATATTTCATACATTGTCAGGTGATGCTAATCTCATTATCCGTAACTCATGTAGTGGCAAGAGGCTCTAATCTCCTCAAACATAATTTCATGTGGTACATTATATTGATAAGATTTTGTGCATTAAATTTGTGTGTACAGGTTTTTCTGTTTACTCTTCTTGATCATGGAGGGAGAAACATCATGGTTTAGCCATTCCCTTGATGACATGGCAAGAGAGATTGGGGAGTTTGATTCTTTCTCAGAGCTCAGTGACGAAGGGAATAAAGAAGCTACTGCAGTTTTGGTGGATTTGATTCTTCCTGATGACCTGTTGGAACGGATATTAGCCTATCTACCAGTTGCAAGCATTTTCAGGGCACGTTGTGTGTGCAAAAGGTGGTATGAGATTGTTAGTTCAAAAAGGTTTCTATGGAACTTTTCACGTGTGCTATCACAAAAACCTTGGTATTTTATGTTTACCAGCTCTAATGAACCAACTGGTTATGCATATGATCCTATCCTTAGAAAGTGGTATGGCATTGAACTCCCCTGCATTGAGACATCTAATTGGTTTATTGCTTCATCATGTGGTTTGGTTTGCTTTATGGACAATGATAGTAGAACTGAGTTATATGTCTGCAACCCTATTACCAAATCACACATGAAGCTTCAGGACCCTGGCTTGAGATTTTCTGATTACAGTGCACTTGCAGTTTCTGTTAACAGGAAGTCACATGGTTATACTATCTCAATTGTGAAATCTAAGCAAGTTACTGGGAATTTTTTCCAATGGGATGTCTCCGTTCATATTTATGATTCAGAAACAATGATGTGGGTGACCTCTTTGACAGAGGTTCTGACAGGATGGAGAGGTGGGGATGAGAGTGTTATCTGTGATGGGGTTTTGTACTTCTTAATTTACTCAACTGGGGGCGGGTCACCAGAAAATCGTCATGGTCTAATCACATATAATCTCTCTTCTTGTTCTCCTCATGGGTTGATAAGGAGTTTTATTCCTGTACCTTGCCCTCTTACATGTGGCCGTCTGATGAACCTGAAGGAGAAGCTGGTTATGGTGGGAGGGATTGGTAAACAGGATCGGCCTGACATAATTAAGGGGATTGGTATCTGGGTTCTAAATGGGAAGGCCTGGCAAGAGATTGCGAGAATGCCGCATAAGTTTTTCCAAGGATTTGGGGAGTTTGATGATGTTTTCGCCAGTAGCGGCACAGATGATCTTATATACATCCAGAGCTATGGAGCTCCAGCTCTTCTTGTCTTTGACATGAGCCAGAGACATTGGAGATGGTCACAGAAGTGCCCGGTAACAAAGAGGTTTCCACTTCAGCTCTTTACTGGTTTTTGTTTTGAACCGAGGCTTGAAATTTCTCCCTGATATGTTTCCTTGTGGATTGATATGATGTGGTGCTACAAATTGTTTTCCCTGAAATCCCTGTGTTTCACCTTTGTTTTGTTTTCCCATTAGTTTGAGTTACAACATCTGTGTTCAAAAAGTCGTATAATGTACCTGCAGATAAGCTGCTCGTTATTCATGGTCATGGGTATATTATTCTTTGCATTGGAAATGCCACTCTGGTAAATACAATCATGAGTTCCTGACATGTACTCCTATTCACATTAAATCTATGTGCTTGCATTTCTTTCTGCTACAATCATGACATGTAAGGAACTTGGTTTTACCACAAAAAGCAGACAAACTCCTTATCATGCTCTTTAGATTTTAACTCTTGCATCTCTATGCGACACTCTGTTACACATATAACGACGAGGTATACTACGGTTAGTCGCCTACCGACGCGTGAGATAGTCTTGATTATTGATACATGATTTCACCTACTTGCGTGGTGGACGACTGATACTTGCAAGATTCATATAACCATTAGGGGCACTTTGATTTCTAGGGGCCATGGTTTTGGAGATGTTTTCCTAGCAAGAGGTCATTGATAATTTTTTGGCAATGAGCCAATAACCAAGCTTTCAAGCATCATATCTTTCAGCAAAACCATGTGTTTTCCACGTAAAATAATTAAGAATTTAATGTGGTATTTTGCCCTTTAAAAAGTGGGAGTTACAGGTAAGCCAGCTTTGCCTTGCGTGGGTTGGTTGAGAAGTGACGAAGATGAACACTTTGGTTTAGTGGAGGTAGATTTTGTTTGGTGGAGATGTGACGATGGAAGATTGTGATTTTATGAATTCTAATGCTGCTTTTGTCCAAATGGACATTGCCTTGTGGCCCAAAGGCTTGTGCCCACTACCAAATATAAAAACCTGCAAATTAATCTTATTCAAATCCCTTGGCTTTTCAATGAATCTGATTTTAGAGATTTGGAATTCAGTGGCTAGAATCTCCCTATTTTTAATTAATAAAAAAAAAAAAAAAAAAAAAAAATTATGTTTTAAAGACATCTCCATCTTCATAGCTGTATGTTTTGTATGTTTCTATTTTAATCACCCATTGAAATTTAATTTCACAATGTATATAATTCACTGTATGATAATGATATTTGTTCAAATAGAAGAGAGGACAAGTTCAAAACATTAGGATCAAAAACACCCAATGAGATCATTACAATCAATAAGCCAATAGGGTGGCACCCATCATCTCTTTTTGTTAAATATGTCCAATGGTCCATTCATGGGATGACAAGAATTCTCTATGAATTATAATAAAAACACATTACAAGTAGGGTAATATTTTAACAACATATATAAAACTGAATTTTCTTTAAGTAAAAAAGGTTGGCAATTCATTGTCTAGCCTTTTGACATTTTAATTTTATTTATTTTTTTAAAAACCTCGACGGTACGAGGGAAGCTTTTGGCAATTTAAGCATACAATTCAAACACAAATTATCTTCTAGATGAAGGGTTACTAGTCAATACTCGTGTAGTATGTTGAACCTAAACCTATTTTTGTAACTATTTTTTTCCCTACATTTAGAAAAGTGGGAAGAGAAGAATCGAAGTTTTACCATAATTGTAGGAGGATAAATGTTTTACCACTGAAACTAGATTCCTAACAATTTTGTAAAAGAACTAACCAATTGGATTAACATAGCAATCAAACCTTATAACTTGTATGGAGTTGGAAACTGAGGACATATTGAATAAGATTTGACAAAGATGGACATCCAATAAACATTTTCAACATATCAAAAGCAAGGGCAAAATGGTCAAATTAATATAAAAAAATTACCTTTAAGGGGTACGTCCGTTCCAGACGCGAAACTTTGCTGGCATTAATATTTCAGAAACGGCATTTCCGTTGAGATGATCCTCGCGCGCGTAAAAGGGCAATGGTTTTTGGTTCAGTAAACAGTCCGGTGGGCAATCCTCTCCGCCTCTCTGTCATAACAATGACAACAACTACTAAAGCTGAAATTTTAGAACTGATGATGATGATGCAGCAGAAGCCAAAAAGTTCGATGAAAAACCAAACCCCCTTCTTCTCTCATTTGCCTCGGAAATTCTTGGAATTCCAAAAAGGGATTTCTTCTGACAAAGGTAAATCTTTGCATACTCAATGTTCCTGCTGACGGGTTTTCTTTTATCTTCTGAAATTTGTTTTTGGTTATGTTTGTGTCAGCTCATGTTTCTAGGATTTTTCTCTTTTGATTGGTAGGTTTTGTAACTTTTGGTTTGATGATGTCTGATACAGCAAGACCCATCTGCAATTTTGCATCAAGTTTACATTTTTTTTTCTTCCAATGAATTTTGATTATTTGTATGATAGTTTTGATTATTCGAATAAAAATAGTTCTTTTCGTTGCAATTATTATGTTGAAGAAAGTATTGAAGGAAGCTGGAGGTTATCGAAATAGAAAAAGGAAAAAAAGAAGTAGGAGGGTGCAAAATAGCTGCTTCATTGTGATAGATGGTGCTCTTTCTCAATGTCGATACGAATAGCTTTAGAACGAGTTATGAGTATGTTGCAGCTAAGTTGATGCCTGAAGGGCATAACAAGTCACTTTGAATGAAAGGCTAGGATGTTGTTCAGTATTTGTGGACCAACACAAAAAAGAGATGATAACCTCTTATGTCAATTGTTCTGATATACATCACAGATAAGTTACAACAGATTAACCAAAGCATTTCAGATATGTGGCCTTGTTTAATTCTCATCTTCAAATTCTTTTTGTAGTGCAGAAATGTATATATCAAATTTATGTTGCATTACATTGTCTTTAAAACAGTACATTTTATGCAAACGAATAACATGTTGCCACACTGTGAATCTGAATTATTGATTAGGTTGCCACACTATAATGTAGTAAAGTGTGATGTATGGCTGACAAGTACAATATTCAGCACTCATTACATCTTTGTAACATGTGATACTTTGCAGGAAAACACATGGAGCTTTGAAAGAGGAGTTTTCACCAGCTGACTTCAAAGCTACTAAAACTAACTGCATAAAATATTCTAGACAGGACTTTCTACAACTTCCTTATATCACAACTGACTTTGAATGGAAAGATTACAGTCCTGCAGTTTTCAGGTTTCTTTTTAATTTTCTTTCAAATGCAATTATTCGTCCAAATAGATTTAATTTATCAAGTTTCGCTGTTCATTTTATTACAAGCGATTTAGTGCACTGCTTACCAAGAAAAAATAAATGCAAGAGTGATGCTATCTAATATAATAAAGCGATAGAAGATAGTGAAATGTAAAACTAAGGTGCATATCTGAACCCTACCTTGGAGGTTGGTCAGTTCAACCCTTAAAACTTGCTTACTTGATTTTGGCCCATTGGAGAAAAAAGTGGTCAAGAAAAAATAGTTATGTCAGACAGGGTATGAAAATAGGTGAAGAGATGCACATTGAAAAGAAATTGAAACGTGCAAAAGTCTATCCTTAGGTTATGATTATGTGCAGTTAATGTAATTCTAATGCATGTTCGTATATGTGTGTGCGTGCTCATATATGTATACAGTATATGCACATATGCTGTTGTTGCTTTTTTTTTTTTTTTTTTTTTTTTTTTGTGTAACCAATAGATTGTTTTCAGACGTATGCTGGAGCTTGATAGTATTGATTATGACCAGTATCAGCTGTCAATATGTGGACATCGGACTCTAAAGGAGGTTTGTTTACCAGGAAGATATGGCAGGGTAATTGTATCATCCAATGACAATCGATTTGTGATTAAAACCCTTCGGAAGTCTGAACTGAAGGTAACCAACCAAACTTCTAATGACATTTTGTCCTTAATCAATGGAAATTTACTAGACAAACAATTAATCATATACACATTTCGTGGAATTTTTTTTTGCCTTTTGTATTAATATGAGTACTGTAAGTTGAGAACTTGTTACTTCTTTGATTTAAAAAATAATAATACTTGAACAAGAGTTAAACTAGTAGCTATTACTTGTTTCTGAAAGGATTCTCTCCCCTATATATTTTCCTCTCTCTCATAGTTTTTCTTGTTGTTTGATCAGAAAGTGCAGACTTAACTCATACTTTGTCCAAATTTTTGTGTTTCAAAAGATTAATTTATTTATGAATTGTGAAATTTCCTTTGCTTTTATATCTTTATTAGCAATCTAAGCATTTTACTATATTTACCTTTTCACATAGGTATACTTAGAGATGCTTCCAAACTATTACCGCCATGTTAAGAAGAATCAGGCCTCACTATTAATAAAACTGTATGGACTTCATGTTGTCAGGCCAGCGGGAGGGATTAAGGTATGATCTTCTCAGTAGCTCAGAAATGAAGTTTTTTATTATTCAAATTTGATGAAATATAATTTGATTGTTGTTACATAACCATTTACTATATATGGAAAAATGCATGTGAATTATTACTTATGTTGGTCTTCACCTTAGCATTGTTAACCCCAATTGAGGACTTTATAGCATGTGAGTAGCCTAGAAGGCTGGAGGTACCATGTCAGGTAGTTTTGCCTCCACCATGTCAGGTAGTCCTGCTAGATTGAGGGTGTTCAAAAGAGCTATACCATGAAAATTCCAACCTACATGAACAAAATTGATCCTTTATTGTATTCAAGTTTCTTGTACTCAATTGTTGCTTTTAATGAGCAGGTTTACTGTGCTGTTTGGGGAAACATGATGCCATCAGAAATTTGCATAGATAAGTGCTATGATCTCAAGGGCTCTTCAATAGGCCGAGCCTGCAGTAAAACAATCGTTGAGGATAGAGCCATACTTAAGGATCTGGATTTTGATTTTTGCTTTTACCTGGATCCATTAGTCCGAGCTCGGCTCTTAGCGTAAGTCCCTTGGTTTATTTGTCATTTCTCAGCAAAATCGGTGTATAAGCAAACTTTTATGCATAAAACTTGAGTCTAGTTTGAACTTTTTGGATGTTAGTGAATAATCTATACTTTGAGTTGGATACCCTCTTTGATTATTTATTTTATTTTTTGGTTAATTCATTACTTAAAATAGAAGTTTGGAAGAAGTTTTGAATGAGCAAACTTTTCTTTTCTGTTATGTACTGTAGCTGTTTCAGTAATTGCCTGTTTGTTTTTGTTGTTTTTAATTATTCAGGCCATGTTGCCATTGTAACCTTTCAGAGGTACATGAAAAAAATAATATTGTCTTCACTTCTTTTACCTATTGGATGTCTAGAGATCTTCCAAATCAAGAAACTTTACTTCTCTATTTTGCACTGCAGCTGCTCCACAAATTATCTGATTTGTATCTCATTTCCAAAAATAAAAATAAAAATTTGAGTCCATAATATTGCCATTGTTATTTGACAGGTAGACCAAAAATGACATTTTTATCTAGCCAAGATAATTTCTATGGATGTAAAAGGAGATTAACATTAATTTTAAGAGTGCATTCACAAACTATTAAATTGGAAATGCATTCCATCGTATAGTACTGTTTCTAAGTAATTACCTAGTCCTAATTATACATTTTGAGCTTAATGGATTTAGCCAGTGGTATCTTATACAGAGGGGCCTAGCCAATTAGCCAAATTTGCTTTATCTTGTAATGAGACATGTAACTGGATGGAGGAGGGGCCTAGCTGGCTTCACTCTTATCTTCAGGATGATTTGTGTTCTCTGCATTCTATTGATGAATAAAGTCTTTGGCCTTTAATAATAATAATAATAATAAAACTTATCACATTCATAAAAAAAATGACTAATCTCAGAATACAAAATTTAGATAAAAAGGATGCATAAACCACTTTGCTTCCTGACATATGAATCCCTTTTTCTTTTCCTTATTAACGTCTTTTATTTGTTGTTTTTGTTTCTATAGACAAGTCAAGTATGACTGCGAGTTTTTGGAAGCTGAGGGCATCATGGATTATAGTTTTTTGCTTGGTATACACATAGAAGCTTCACATGAAGGTCATTCTTCTCATTAATCGTCCTCTCTGACTTAGTGAACGTTTAAGTTTCATAAGATGCATAGATATTTTGTATCATGCAAATATATGCAGATAAGAAAATTCTAAAATATGAGAGTACAGTGACCATACACTGAAAAACTAGTACAAAATTTAAAAGAAGTGATGGTATTGTTGTTTTCCTGTTCTTGTCGTTGTTCTAATATTGTGTTAGAAATGCATATTCTTTCATCTGTTGAACATATGATTGATTCTTCTTCTTGATTCAACTCTTTCAAATATATGCTACATAAGATAGATCATTAGTGCACCCCTAATGAAGCAGGTATTTATATCTTACAATTTGTTTAAGGTATGTTCAGTTGTCAAAATTTTCATTTACTTGAATTTTTATACCTATTTTGTAGGATCCATTCAGGAGTTCAAGATGTGTGTTTGTCCTGATTCTCAATTCTTACCTTTTCTGATTGTATTGTTGTGTACATGTGTTTATGTTCTCTTTTCCTTGCTTCCTTGTGATGTTGCCCCCCAGACATACTGTGGCTTTCTTTGCTAATCTGCATATTATATAGTATCTTTTCATTCTCTCTCTCACTCACTCACTCACACACACACACACACACTCTCTCTCTCTCTCTCTCTCTCTATTTTTTTTGGGTACTTAAAACTTGCACATGTAGTGAAGAATTAGCTGCAAATATGATGTCATAATGCTACACTTCTCCACTCATCTGTCATAGGTCTTTGAAATTATGTTAGCGGTAAGTGTAAAAAATCTATCTCCCCTTTGGCAGGTTCAATTGATGAAAACGCTTCCAGAAGTTCTAGTGCCAAAAGGAAAACGGATGATACTTCAGAACAAAATGAAAGCTCAGAGTTAACTCTTGCCGATATCTGCGATCTACTTGACAGGTATATTGTATGCATTGCCGCATAATCAATCTGTTTGGCATAAATATAGGGCCAAAATGAGTACCCACTTCAAGTTGACATAGAATTGTGCTAAAATGAAAGAATTGGCAAAAACACAAGTTGAAAGTTTGCTAGGCTTTGTTTTTCATTACTGTTATGTCAATTGTAAATATACTGAACTGTATAAAAAGACAGGGGTTGCAACAACTAACTCACTGAAGAAGTAATATGACCATTGAGGCTCTGCTGCAGAGATAATTCCAGTCATTCGCTATTCCATTTCATTTCTTTCTTTCTTTCATTTATATTCCAACTATTGTCAAATTAGTATCAGAGCGGTTCGTCCTGGATGCCAAATAAAGCAATGGCGGAAGGCACACGATTCTTCCCATTTCAATTCCTGTCTACATTCGTTACTATCTGCAGTAATTTGCCATTGCTTTCTTTGGCATCGAGGACAAACAGCTTTACTTCTCTGATACTAATTTGTCAAGGCTTAAGCCCTGACTGTAGTTGGAATGTAAATGAAAAAATGATAGAAATGAAATGGAACAGGGAATGACTGGACTTCTCTGTCCAGCAGAGCCACAATGTACTTACTATTTCTTTAATAAATCTGTTAGTATAACCCCTGTTCTAATGATACAACAAAGTGGCTTTACAACTCAGGTAACATTTCTAACTAACAAAACGACCTAACAAACTTCCAACCATATTTTTTGCCAACTCAGCTGCTGATCCGTTGTTTACTTGTCACAGCTTCATTTTCTTCATTTTGGATGGTTTTGTTGGTAGTCGGTACTAGACAGTTTCATAGAGGAATCAAATTATTATACCTTTAATAAGGATTATGAAAAACTTGTAATTACAAATTCATAGATAGATGTTCAACATGAATTGACGATCCATAGCTCATTATTCTTCCGCTGCAGGCCTGGGTTTAAATTTGGGGATAGACTGCCAGCACGTGCTGTCCGGGCATTCAGGAATGAAATGGAAAGTAAATCATATAGGTCGTGCACCAGTGCACAGGAATGCTTCAAGGTTCTTTTAATCTTTGGAATAGTAGATTTTTGTCAGAATTACAATATGAAAAAGCGCATTGAGCATGCTTGCAAGGCAATAAAATATGACTCAAAATCCATCAAGACTGTGAATCCCAAAGCCTATTCTTCTCGCTTTCAAGAGTTTCTGAGCGCAGTATTTCTGCCGGAAGAATCAGATTAGCTTGATCACAACAGGTAGGTTCTTTCTGTTCCTTAACACTAACCTTTAGATTTCTTTTATAGACAGATTCATGCTACCCTTAGACTCCAAAAAAACAAGGAGAGATTCATATTAGACCTGCTCAGGCCACATTGGGCCTTACTTTCAATGGGGCCTCCCTTCAGCAATGGGGCCAATATGCAGTGCTTTTCCATGAGTCAGCTCTCAAACCTAACAAAACTCAAATGTCTGAAACTCTGGTAGATTTTCACTGAGTGCATGCCTGAAGGCATACATATTGGTGTTTAGTTTGTAAAAAATTTCACCTTGCATGTAACACAATGTAACTATGAAGGGTTTCTATATCTAGACACATCATTAATAATGTGAAGAGTTCTTAGCATAACTCTAAATATGTTTTTGACAGGGACTCAGCCACAGGATAGTCGAAGATTGTGCTAGTCGATTATTTTAGAAAACTTAGTGAAGAGGAGATGCTTCATATCAACACCAAGAACTCTACTACTCGTGTCGGCTATCTCGGGATCGGAATGTCACATTTTGTGCATGAGGTAGAAACTATAGCTTGATGCATTAGTAGGAGTGAGAAGTAACGATAGTTCTAAAAGATAAAGAAAAAATGAAGATCGATGAAGGGGCACACCTCACGGCATTATGCACAAGTTGTTCATATAGACAATTCTTGCTGTAAATTTCAATGTGATCATAAACTTTCACTGAAACCTTCAAGTCATATTGTTCATAAGTGGACTACTGCATGCCATTGTTCATACGAGACGATCCTTCACTGTAAATCTCTGTAAATTTCATATGATCATAAACTCTCATGTAAATCTTCATGTAATATTGTTCATCGTAGACTATTCTTTCTTGCTACAGATTTCAATATGATCTGTCGATATGTCATAGCAGGCCAAGTTCAAACTACTAGCCTCAAAATCACAGGCAAATCCAATCTCTGTAACATGGAAACACCCCAAAAAGTGTGAAATAAACTGGGAAGGTACAATTAACAAAAACAAGGAATAAAAGGAAGAAGCCCCATGTTACTGTAACCCTTTGAGGCCTAATCATTGCCCATGTTGGATAACAAAAATGGGATGTTTGTAGATGTTTACCAAAAGCAAGCCCTTGGACCACATACAGTCAAGAACAAAACCCAACCACACAAGTGGTCCAATTATGATTTTGGTGGTCCTTCTATCATGAAAATTCAATTAGTTTCCAAGTTCTAGGTGCACTGGAGAAGTGGTGTTATATTTAATGTTGGAAACTTGCTAACCAAAAAATCCTAAGCAAAACACTTGTTGCCTGCAGAAAAAAAAGCAGAAAGACAACTAGAAGAATAAAGAAACATAAAGCCTATTGGCATTGCAGATGGTCTAAGGACCACAAATTGGGGCCTTCTTGTTCTGACTGGTCTGGTCCTGGTGGACCAGTCACCAGAGCTAACATTTTGGCTTCAGCTATGGTTCTGTCAAAAGCCCAGATTACAATGCTGTGGACAGCATGCTTCCGCAATGACTAGGTCACCATATTCCGCATGGTTAAGAGCTTAATTTCCTTTTAATCTTCCCCATAAGAGATATTTAGCCAGCCATAATTATACTTAATAATATTTGTTTATTAACAAACTTAAAGTAGCCTAGTCCCTATGCAGGGCAGATCATGAAAGCTAGAAAGGGGCCACCGCATTGTATGCATATCTTGTCATTTCTCTCTCAAGAAGAGTCAAGATCATCTGTTATCTTACCATGTGAGTGAAAATTTTGAAAATGGACTAACAATATGATTGCAGCCTTTGATTTTAGCTCAAGGGCCCACAAAAATGTCGATATGCATGTGAGAAAGTTTGCGAATCCTCGGTAGCATTTTGTTTAAATCGAAGTTTAAGAAGATTAAATAGGAGGGAAGTGAAAAGAGTAAATATAGAGGTAGGAGACAAAAGAAAATACATGTAAAAAAAATTAGTTTGTCATATGCACTTGCCTCCTTCCGTGTAAGGAGATACTCTTCCTTTGTGTGAATAACAATTTGACACATATGCAAAAATAATTTATTATAAAAAAAATTATGCACACATGTCACATTGTTATTGACAGAAATATGAGGGCTTCTATTTACTCTCTTCATATTTTAAGATGTTATAAAATGAATTCTCCGAATGTCAAAATTCATTTAGAATTTAAATAAAAGATCATACATGCTTAACCTAGAACTACCTAAAGTACTTGCTAATGTATGAGATAAATTTATTAAACCGTACTTGGGCTTGAAGTCCTATGAATCTTAATTTATGATGAACAAAGTTTAGTTCCTTCAAAATAGGAGGAACTCATCCTTAAAATAAATAGAATTTAGACACTTGTTTAATTTCAAAACAATAAAATAATTTTTTAAATGAAATTGACAAGTGTAAAACCTCATTTGAGGGGAGGTCCTTAGTTTTAACTTTTAAGGACGCAACCTTAGATCCTAACAGTGCTCAAATGGCAAAGTTTACAAATAAAAACAACATATTTTTTTATTTTTTTGGAAAGTGCTATCAGATAATACTATTTAACATATGACAAATGTAAAAATAAAAATAAAAATAAAATCACTATTTAACAGTTGTATTTGAGAAAAAATTTCAAATTTCTTTTTGTTTTTACTTTTTAAACAAAAAACAAAAAACAAAAAATGATAAGTGTTAGAATCAGCGGGCCCAGTTTTGAAGGCCCCTGTCCCAATTTCCTTGGCATATTAGCGCCGAGGTGGATAAGCTTTGGGGTAAATCAGGGGACAAAGAAACAGCAAACATAAAACTCAATGCTCACTTAGAAAATAGAGATGCAAAATATGTAGGACAGAGCAGAGCAAGCAAGCCTTAGTGTCTGTAGCTTTGAGGAAAAAGAGAGAAAGAAATAAGCAACCTAGTAATCTTGAAGCTCCCAAAAAAAGGAAAACAAAAACGTGGGTGAAAGAGCTTAGAAGCTCACAGATTGAATTTTGAAGAGAGAGAGAGAGAGAGAGAGAGAGAGAGAGAGATGGAGAGAAAAGAAAAGGGTGCGGAAAGTGAAAGAAAAAAGCAAGAAGGATCATCAATGGTGAAAAAGTTGAAACGCGGTGTATTGGTAGGGAAAAGAGGAGGGCTTTGTAGCACGCCACCACCTATTTGGAGGCTTGATGAGTTTTATAACAGCAACAACAAAACCAGCTCTGAATTTCTCAACCTTCACCCCACAACTTCACTCTCTGCTAGAAAGCTCTGTTCCAGCCTCTGGGAAATTGAGTCTTATCAGTTCCAGCATAACCCACTTGCCCAAATGAGCAAAGCAGGAGCTAGACTTCGACGCAAGCACCAGAAGAGAAATGGGTTTGAGCTTCCCAAGCATCTGATCGGGCTTGACACTCCTACTAACTCACTTCATCACCACCAGGTATCTATACAATATTAATGTGTGTTATTTTGGGAAGTGTTTAATGTTGACTTTGTGGTTTTCTTTATTTGGATTTGTTTAGTTATTTGGGCTTGAATTTCTTATTCCGGGAGCAAATATGGCTCAGTATTTCTTTTTCTCTGAAGCAACATTATAAGTGGTTGCATTATTAAGTTTAATTCTCAAGGTTAATGTCTTTGGCATAGAACTATCTTGATGAAATGATTATGCAGCAGTAACACTAGGAGAAGTTTGTAATGTTGGGAAGAACTGCTAGACTTTGAATATGGCTTGAGAGCTCTGATCTAATTTTTGCTCCTCAAGCTGCTAGACTCTCTGTATCCGAATTCGTGCTTGTCTGTATGTTTCGATTTAATCGTTTATCCTTGCCCTTTGTCTCATTCCAGCCAGCAACTGCAAGCAGCTTAGGGAGGCTTGTATCAGCATCACTGATACAACACCATCAATCAGTTGAGAGCAATGGTTGTGCTCTTCAACCCCTACCTCCTGCTAGTTGTAGTAGCTCACTGGAGGTGAGTAATTATGTCCCTCTTGTCCTGAATAAGAAAAAGAGTCCCTCTTGTTAAATAGCCTGCTTCTTCTTAAATAACTTATATATAGAATAGAAAGAAGATATCATGAGTCAAGTAGTCTTACAAATTCAACAATATTTACAATGAGGATTAAGAGCTGACTTTCCAATTCTTTGAAAGTGCTTCTTTTCACTGACATTAAATTTTAGAAGGCTGATTCATTGTAAACTCTGGGAGTGATTACTCAAAATGTAACTTAATGGTGCATCTTCCTGGATGCCCTTAAGAGAATCAACTGATAAGTAGACAACAATGTAAAGTAATACAGAGCTTTCTCTATTAAAATATGAACTGTTTGCTCAAAGAATTCATAGAAGTCGAGATTCTATGTTGAGTAGAAATGTTTTGGAACGACAATATAGTGATATTGTATTATGTAACTACAAAAATTCAGGACAGAACTTTGGAGTATAAAATATTAATGATATCATCTAATACAATTGGAGTGATGTTTTGAGTTATTTTCTTTCACCAAATCAAGTGAGAGCTAAAAGCTATGTTATCTGCTGGTTTGATGGATTCAAGTATCCTTTGATTTTCATAGGTGGCACCTTATAAGGTAAGGATGGGTGAGTCAAGTCGAAGCTTTAAAACATCCACAGAATTACTCAAAGTGCTCAATCGTATCTGGACTCTTGAAGAACAGCATGCATCCAATATAGCATTGGTAAAAGCACTGAAAATGGAACTAGATCATTCTCAGGCAAAAATTGAAGTGTTGTTGCATGAGAAGCAATCAGATAGGCAAGAAATGGACGACTTGATGAAGCATGTTACAGAAAATAAACTTGTTTGGAAAAATAAGGACCAGGATCAGATCAAAGCTACACTCCAATTGCTCAGGGATGAGCTAGAAGGTGAGAGGAAGTTGAGAAAGCATTCAGAAAGCCTGCATCGGAAGCTAGCTCGAGAGATTTCTGAAGTGAAATCTTCTTTCTCTAATGCTTTGAGGGAGCTTGAAAGGGAGAGAAAAGCGCGTATCCTATTGGAAAACTTGTGTGATGAGTTTGCAAATGGAATAAAAGAGTACGAACAAGAGGTGCGATCCCTGAAGCAAAATCCTGAGAAGGATCACAGTGGTATGACCAGCTCTGACAGACTAATTCTCCATCTTTCAGAAGCATGGCTTGATGAACGGATGCAAATGAAGATAGCAGAAGCTCAGAATGACCTTGCAGAGAGGAATACAATTGTAGAAAAGTTAGGTTTTGATATAGAAAACTTTCTTCAGGCTAAACGATCTGTTGAATTGAAGAAAAATAGTAAGTTCTCCCCAATGGAGCTCAAGGGAAACTGCTCACGCCGGCATTCATTAGAGTCCTTTCCATTGAATGAGGCTATAAGTGCACCACAACATGTAGCTGATGAAGATTCTACTGACGGTGATTCACACGCTTTAGAAGCAAGCAAGACTGCCAGTGGAAAACAAATCAAGCTCAGTGCTAGGCAGCACAAAAAAAATGTTGCAGAAGGCCAACATGAAGGACTAGTGAAATCTAATTCCATGAGGAAAAAGGTATCACAGGAGAAAAACAAGGGTAATAGCTTGTCTGGTTTGCAAGGGCAGTTTGAAGAACATATGGCCAGAGCCATGTCCTATACTGGAAACAGGAGACAGTCTGCAGATAATAAACATGGTGAAATCACTAAAATGGGAGAAGAGAATCGAGCTCTGATTGACAATCTTGAAGAATCTGAGTACTGTGATTTAATCAGAGAAGGTCTACAAGAAATACAAAGTAAACGGGTTGCGGCACATGGATTGAAATCCAATCCTCCTGAAAGTAACTGCATGGTAGAAACTGGTATCCAGCCTGTGTATACAGGTAATGCTAGTCCGGTACAGCAATGGATGTCAAAATTAACAACCCCAGAATTTGGAAAATCTGAATCTACTTTGGAATGGCCTCCGGGGCTTAACGAAAATACGCTGATGGCAAAATTACTTGAAGCCAGGTTAGAAGCAAAGCGCTCTCGCTCGAAGACTTCCAAAGGGCCTGTCTAGTTTGATCATGTTAAGCACAATCATGGAACATAGCTGTTCATTGAATTGAGGCCAGGATCTTTGTAAACTGAGTTTCTAGTGCAAATAGACAAGCAAATGCCAAATGCAGTGCACTTGTACATGAGAATTGTTTTCTTATCAACCTTGTTATACATATTTTTTTGTTATCATCCAAGTCTCTACTTCTTATCAGGCAAACCTGTCAACAAATAAGCAAAAATTTATATGATTTTTCAAAAACCTCTTTAATCTCAATCAATCAATCTAAATTACGAAATGGAGTCTGGACATGGATACTGGAACCAGTTGAAGCCTAAATCAATGCCTAGTTGTATGATAGTTGTTGACGCTCGGCACATGTTGAGCTCATCTACCCAATAAAAGTGCGACACGTGGGTCTCGTAAGACGTACCAAAGAAAATGAAAAAACCACTCTGCATCGGTCTACGAGCTGCCTCGAGGAGATCGAAAGAGTGTAAGCCATTCACGTCGATGACAAGACCCATTCTAACCACCGATCCGTCGCGCCTCATAAAGCGCGCCCCCATCCCTTCGAAAGCCGGGTGTTAGCCATCCAAGTCACCACCTCACTAGATGGGACTATCACCGTGTGTGCAGAAAAGCTATTCTGCCCAGGCCCGCCCCCTAGTAGAAATGTAAGAAGGTCATCATGGGCTGAGGACATGGACAACCCCGACCACCCGTCGTCTGACAGATCTGATGTGACATAAACAGCTCGGCTCCGAGCCGAGGTGGTTGGCTTGTAAATTAGTTCATGTTTTGTTCTTCCTATAAATAGAGTAGTAGTTCTTGTAAAAAGAAAGAGGTTTTTTGAGAGATCACTCCCAATAAAAATAAATAAATAGTAACAACCATGTCCTTCGTCATCTGATTATTTTCTCTTCCCAAAACTCCTCCCCCTCAAGGATCATCTTAATATACTTGTACTCCTCCATGTTATCCACTTGAATATTTGTGGGTTCAACAATAGTTATCTAAAAGACTGATGGCCATGAAAGCTACTCCTAACTTTCCTGATTGTAACGAGGAGACAATTGGCACCACCATCAGTGACATATATTTATATATAATTTTCTCAAGCTCTTCAAATGAAAAAATTTAGGTTTGCTTAATTGCTTTTGACCATATAAAGAAATATACTTTAATCCACCAAATGGTACTTGATATTCTATAATATTTAAAATCCAAATGCAGACCAAAATCCTGAGGCCGTTGCTGCCTACAACACCAGTCACCCCCTTCCCAATTGAGTTCACTGAAATATTAAATCTGATTTCTAATTTGTCAATAACATTTAAACAATGCAAAGAACCATTTTTGTTAGATTAAAATTCACATGGGATTAAGTCCCACCACCCACCACTACCTGCAAGTAAGATTCAAGAAAAGTGTTCAGTGCATAGAAATATTATACAATTTGCTTGACCCAAAATTTCTTGGTACTTTTCATGATCCAATTAGTTTTTTGATACCATAGTGAGTTTGACTGGACACCTCTGAGTATAATTTCTTTTCATAAATTACTGGCTTATATTGATAAAATTGACAAAATGGAATCGATTGAGGCTTTAAAAATCTATAAAATTACGTGCCTACTATGTTTTGTTTTGTCTGTCAAAAGATAGTGTGACCATACTTGAAAGTACTTCTTTTTCATTATCCAGTAACCAAATTAAGCCTCTAAAAAAATTTACACTTGTGCGGCATGATGGTGTTCAAATCTAAGCATAACAATTTTTTTAAAATTTCCTCCTTGAATGTAGTGGACCACTATGAAAAGCAACTAGCATAAGAATAAACTTTGCGATAATGATAGTAGCAATTTTCTTTCTAATATTTTCATGGAAGTGTACTTAATTGTTAGTACTTAGAAATGGAATTTTATTATTTGTAGGTGTTGACGCAAGGTAATAACCAAGTTCAGCCTACCCAATGCAAGCATGACACGTGGCCATGAAGAGGCCACGTCGACAACAAGCCCTATCTTAAATGAAGACGGTGCCACCCTCCTTCAGAACCACCACTCCCATCACCTCAAATTCCACGTGTAGGGATGTCATTCGTCCGTGGGCAAGATGTGACATGGGTCAGAGGCTACTCTGCACACCACCACCCGCTTATGAAACCGTGTGAAACCATCATGGCCGCATGTCAATCTCCAATTGATCCACGGATGTGATGGGACTGGTGCTTAGACATGACATGGTTTGCTCGGCATCGAGCCGTGTAAAGAACAGCTTGGAAAAATCTTGTAAAACTGAAGGAAGTTGAGCTTCCATCTCAAAACTAATTGGCAATGAGGAAATAACTCAATTCCTTATAAACTCCAGGATAAGTCCTCAACTTTTCAACGCGAGAGAAATACTTTTCTATCAATCTTCAATCAAAGAATATTCTCATATTCCTTTTGTTTCCAATTTAGTTTATTACTTTTAATGGCATGTTTACTAATCCATAATTAGATTACGAGGAATTGAATTGAGGAGAAGTTGTATTGAGGAGAATTATATTCCACATTCTTATTGAAGTTGTTTACTAAACCATATGGAATTGGAGTAGGAGAGGTACTAATTCCTAAAATGTCTTTGTTGTTGGGTTAAAGTAGATGACAAATTTGAAATTTTGAAAATTGTGTGAGGATATAATGGGTAAACAAAATGAATTCCTAATGGATTAGTTCTTCAGGAATTTGAATACCATCTCCCACCCAAGAATTAAATTCCTCCAAAATTAGGAATTCAATTCCTAATTATGTGTGGGACCCACATATTGTTCAATTATTTGATGTGAAGTAAACGCATGAATCATCTATAGGTGGAATTCAATTCCTGATTAGTAAACACACCTAGGGCATGTTTACGTATCAGTAATGGAGAAAGTAAGGAATCAGAGAATTTAGGAATCGGAGAACTACTGAATCGGTATAGGAAGAATCATTCTCATTAAGCTGTTTACTAAACATATGGAATTAGCAAATGAATGGGATTGATTCCCATTGTTATTGTTTACTAATTTGCATGAATCAGAATCCAAATTAATTTTAGAATTATGGTAAAGTGGTAAGGATATTTTTGGAAGTTATTAAGAGAAAACAGGAATGAGAATCGTATCGACTACTCCCCCTTAGTTGATCTGATACCTAGTTTTGAGGGAATGTGATTACGGATTTTGAGGTAGGGCCCACTTATTTTTTCATTCCTGATTGCAAGTAAACGTGGGGGAAGTCAGAAATGGAAATCATTCCCTTTCCTCCCATACCCATTGCTGATATGTAAACATGCCCCTAATGTCTTAATCTTCCTAATCCCAATACCCTAAGGGGGTCAAGATTCTTAAGTTGACCGCTGGAATTTTGGAGTTCAACAGTATAAGCTTTTTCTAGTGAAAATAACAAATTTTCCAATCTCATATACTTTTGAAGAAAGAAATGATAACTAGTTAACATTTAGAAAAGGGTTCAATTAATATACATTTTATTGCTTTAAAATGGTTCGATTACTTTAGCAAGGATTTGAACTTGCAATGCCTTATGCAAAAGTGAAGCTATTACACACTTGAGTGAGTATAAGGAGCGTCTTAATGTTTTTTATTAATCTTAACATCACGTGACATGTTAATGTCACAAATTTATTATAATTATGCGTAGTGTTGTATTTATAATATTGAAACTTCCCAATTCCATCCCAAGGCTAAATACAGTCTCTTTCATAGTATATTTTTAAGACTAGCTAGTAAGTTTAGGGTTAACTTTCCTAATTGTGTACTTGTCTACTTGGCTTGAGTGATGTTTGACAAAATTTTCAGGACCCCTGTGCTGTATGTAAATATGCACAGGCCATAACAGAAAGATCTAAATTAAGGTGACACCAATTCCACTTAAAATATACAACATACCAATTACCAAACAAGATAATCATCCAAGCCACACAGGCACACATTTCTTTTTTCTTTGATGGAACACACAATTGGTACACTTTACAAGCAACGTTCGTGTATGGGACCTACAATTTTAAGAGCTTCTGATCATAAAGATAAACACGCACTTACCTATATATGATTATATATAATAACCCTAGTTGGAAAGTTAATCAGAAAAGATTCTCTCAATCAGCAATAATTGATTTCTCTGTACTAATCTTGCAACGTTTCACCAATTCTTTGACAAGAAAATCCCATTATGGGATTCTTTCATTAATATTAAATCTGGGAAAATTAATGGCCCCAACTTACCTAAAGCCGAAGTCCTGGCCTATATAAAGACCCCTCAAGGCTTTCCATTCTCATAGCCAATATCGCTTCCATTGATACATATATAGCTACCAGCTTATAGGGTCAAAATAGGGTCTTAAGTGGGGCCCAAATGGAGCTCTCTCCACTTCAACTCTGAAAGGAGGTGACGGTAGACCACGACTGCTAGTTCATGAATACCCTTAGATGCGCACAATAAAACTAAATGTGCGCATGTTAAGGGTTTGCATGAGGTGGGAGACGAGGCTACTTTGATCTTTTTGGTATTGGAGTGAAGGGAGCTCCAAATGGTCTTCCAAACTTTGCTTCTTCTTTTTTTTCTCTTTTTTTCTTTCTTTTTATTGAACCTCCTCCCCTGACTCAAACAAAAGCATGGTGGTGATCAAACTTTCTGCACATTTGGTAGAGTCAAGAATGCCCCAATTGTCTACTTGCATTACAATGTGCATATATGCCTAGATCGATATGTACCAAGTATTGGTTTGTACAATCCTTTATTTTATATGTTAATTAATCTGCTTTTTAAACTAATGTTTTGCTAAGTTTGTTTGGCAATTAGATTACAGAAAGCAGCCACTTTACGAAGCACCAAGACTCAGCGGCTGCACCATGCAGATGTGATTTTGATTTTGCCAGAAGTCTTCATGGCCTAGCAATAGAACAGAGCTTTTATTTTGTTTGCATAACAGACTTGTTCCTTCCAACAGCCCATTTTTCATGCGACATCCATA